CTTTCAACATTTAACAGCAAAGCCAACTCTCCTGACATATGCAGAGGAATATTCCTCATAACATCAGAGGAATCAAGAGTCCACAGGACAGTGAGAAAAAAAAGGAGCAAAAAAGTACCAGGGCTGTCATTTCTTTTCCACCCCATCTTGCCATCTTGAATTTAGAACTCAATACCAAAATAGTCAGGAATAACCAAGTTTCATGTGTTCCAGGAATAAAAAAGCTTTCAATCATTCTTACTGCCCTTCCTTTAGCCAAGATACTCTTAATTTCCCTAGGAAGGAGTTTATTCTGCCGATGAAGACAGATGTCAGATGATTTCAGCCTTCTATAATAGGAAAGAGCTTTCTCATGGAAAAAGCAAGAAATGGAACCAAACCAGGCCATGAACCTTTCAAGGGAGGCTGTATACCTTCAAGCCACTGGGTATTCAAACTACTTGGGAAAATCCAGGTTCAAACTTAAGTCCTTGACCTTATGATAATAACCCAGTAGTTTGTATTATAGAAAATTTTATAAAACCTGAAAAAATTTAAAAATTTTGAAAACCTTTTTATGAAACCTGAAAACTTGTAACATGTCATGGGGCTTGAGCTATGTCAGTATATACAGTATTTATGGCACCAGAAATCAGGAAGTAGAAATCTCCTGTCTTAGTCGGCAGGAAAGAAATTCTATGAAAGGGAAACTCTTCTGCAGCTTCTGACGCTAAATTAGCTAATGGTAGAGTAAAACTCGCAAATATGATTTGGTACTGGTTCTAGTTTTCTCCTAAAACCCATAAAACTATAAAAATACTCAACAAAAGCTTACTTTGGAAAAGATGTTTCTCAAAACAAAAAAGGTGTACGTTTTTATGCTTTTCCCCCCAATATCTTTATAGGATGAGGGAAAAAGTGAAATATTCTAGAAAAATACAATGAAGAAGTAATGAACATAAAGAAATTGGGCCTTTGGAAGCAAAGACTCAGATTAGAATCCTGGCTCTGCTAAAAGACCTATAAAAAGATATTTTATCTCTCTTTTCCTCAGTGACTTCATCTGTGAAATGGAAATAATCCTGGCCTCCAGAAGTGAGAGACAATAAATTCTGTCTGTCTTAAGCCACTCGCTTTGGTCGTGGCACTTCAATATAGCAGCTGTAAGCAACTAACACAATGAGGAAACTAATACAGGAAGGAAAATTTTGCTTTTAGCTTCAGGTGAAATTGGTGGAGAAGACCGAAGCCAGACAGAAGGGACTATATCTTACAAATAAACCTTTTAAGAGTTTGAATCTAGTTAAGTTTGGATTCAGTTTTGTATTTCAAAACTAGGGACAATAGTACTTAGAGCACACGGTTATACATGAAGGTGTAGTCTGTAATAAGTCTTAGATATAGTAAGTTATTATTAGGCACAAATTGGATATTATGTTACTCATTAATCTATGAGTATAACTTGACAATCTATTACTTTTATAATACAATATTACTATTCTTGCTGTGTCAGTCTGATAGATTTACACACCTTCACTACTCCAAAGGCAAAGCTGGTTTGGTTTACTACCATGCTAGTATTGTGGTTTTCAATTAGCAGTGATTTGCCTCACGCAGACATTAGGCAAAAATGTCCGGAGATGTTTTTGGTTCTCACAACTAGGGCAGAGGGGGGCTGCTACGAGCAAACAGTGGATATAGACTAGGAATGCTGCTAAAACATCCTACATTGCACAGGACAGCCCCTAAAACAGAGAATCCTCACACCCAAAACATCCATCATGCCAAGGTTGAAAAGTCTGCTCTTACAGTAGCACCCAGATAACTTCTGGTCAAAGTTTCAAATACCAAAGTGTTCATATTTTCATCCAGAGTAGTCAATCATGTATCTTTTTGAAATTTGGTAGAACCAGACTATTAATAGTGACTCATTAGCAGCTCATTGTTAGTGAAAACATTAAATTTTCTTTTAAAGAGTGAGGCATGCACCCATAGCCCCAGCTACTCAGGAGGCTGAGGTGGAAGGACTGCTTGAGCCCAGGAGTTTGAGGCTGCAATGTGTTATGATCATGGCTGTGAATAGCCACTGCACTGTAGCATGGGCAACATAGCAAGGTCCTGTCTCCAAAAAATAATTAAAAATAAAAATAAACTTTCTTTTAATGTTCTAAAAAAGTGAAAATTCCTGTTCACAAAGACATCCTCACAGCCACTCATCAAGCCAGCTTTACAAGCACTAGCAGTGATACATGCACTAGCTAGTGGAGGGGGCCACACACCTCAGCAATCTATGGAATGTGCTCAGTATAAACCATCTGCCAGTCGGGATCAGAGGAGGAAGAGTAACTGTCCTCCCGAGCAACCTTTCCCAGTAGTTGAAAAACCTGTCTGAAGATGAAAACCACTGGAAACCCAGCAGCTAAGTTCCTTGATTGAAACCTGGAATTACAATTAGGCAGTGGGTGGCTAGGTCAGTACTCAAGCACTGGCACAGGTGATTTTCCTTTATCTGTAACTTGTAGCCAAGCCTGAATTATTGCCTTGCTCAGGGTTTTTGTATCTCCTTTACTGTTGCCTCTGGCATGCAAAGCATTTGCAGTCACCTCCTTGAAGCTATCATATAAATACGGTCAGGCATACTGTACATTTTTAACCAAGTCTGTTCATCAAGCTTCTGTGGTCTGCATGTCACCTCACCGCATACTCAGGTCATAAACAATTTAGGTCTCCAATACTATTCCCTAAGAGCACCCTAGAAATATAATGAACTAATTGGCAAGGCAAGAAAATTCATTTTGGTAAAGGCCAAATTAGGGTCTCAGGTTGTCCTCTCCATTGAAGCTGTGTACCTTGCTTTAAAAAAAAAAATTCATTGATCTTTGTTTTATTAATAATGCAAGTTCAAATTTACCTGAGCAAATAAATGTGGGATAGCTAGGAGAGCAATGTTAAATATAATGAGAAAACCATCTGTGAAGGGCAAAGTATGCTGCTAAGTAGAATAGCATATACCTTCATTCTAACTTTCAATAGTCTATATTTATTGACTAGCTCTGTGCAAATTCAGGAACAAAAGTCGCACTGTACTGGTTTAAATACCTTTAGTGTTTTCATTAAGTCACCAAAAATCATCATAATTAAAATTACATTTATACTTAACATTGGCTTAGTAATGTCAACGTACATTTTATCATTTAATTCAAAAGTTTAGTTAAAGCTCTCGGTCCACTGAGACAGAACAAATATTTCAACAGCTGGAAGATGTTAAAAGTCAAGAGTTCTGGCATTTGGAGAGACATATATAATTACTCTCCCCTAAAAACAAAACATCCTGGAGAAAGCCAAGAAAAAATGCTATCTCATAGGAAACCAACAAAACACAAAAACAGAAAAATTATAATTCTTCTCTAATCTTTATTTATAAAATTTACTTAGCTACTAGAACTATTTAGACTGCCCCAGGTAAGACAAATAACTTTTCCTTGCAGATATGGAAACAGTATTTTCCTAAGTATGAAAAATAATTATCAGCATTTTATGTATCATTTCATATCATGGCTTTTTAGGGAAGACCATACTAACTTTTCATTTCAGCTAGACAGCCATTTGGCTGAAATAATTCATAATATGGTCTGATTAAAAGGAACAAAAAGAAAAGCTCAATCTGTTTCAATTTAGTTTGAATTTTTAAGCTATAAAGTCAGCAACTCAGAACAAGCATTTAATTAAATATTTCATGATACATTTGGACATTTATTTTGTATTTTCATAGGGATCCGTTTCTATAATTCTCTTCACCTTGCCTCAATTGCACCCCAGGGCCACCCCTGCTCTCACCACGTGCCATCAATTCAGCCCACCATTATTTCCCTCGTATGTGGAAATAACAGACCACAGATTTATGTTTCCACTCTAAGTTCATATTCTAGAAAAGATGGAATAGTTACGTAGAACCTCACATGTATTGGGTGCATTTAATAAAATATGTTCCCTAGAAAAAGTCAGAGTTAGGCCGGGCGCGGTGGCTCAAGCCTGTAATCCCAGCACTTTGGGAGGCCGAGGCGGGTGGATCACGAGGTCAAGAGATCGAGACCATCCTGGTCAACATGGTGAAACCCCGTCTCTACTAAAAATACAAAAAATTAGCTGGGCATGGTGGTGCATGCCTGTAATCCCAGCTACTCAGGAGGCTGAGGCAGGAGAATTGCCTGAACCCAGGAGGCGGAGGTTGCGGTGAGCCGAGATCGCGCCATTGCACTCCAGCCTGGGTAACATGAGTGAAACTCCGTCTCAAAAAAAAAAAAAAAAAAAAAAAAAAAAAAAGAAAAAGTCAGAGTTGAGGGTGTGTGTGTAGAAAGGAACAGTTTGAGAGAAGAAATACTGCAAAGAAAAGGTTTTTACAATATTTTTCATTGATGTCTCACCAGAGTTGGACAAAAATACACAGCTAGAAACCTGAAGTAAGAAGAACAAACACTCTGCCAATCAAATGATTTACTTTACTCCCTTCAGAAGGCAGTATGGCTAACACCTTCCCAGTCACAGGGGAATGTTTTAGACTAAGAATCATTTTTAAAAAAGTGCATTTTAAATTAAGCCAAGAGGAGCACTAGAGTTGTTCCCCAGCCTGTTCTCAACTGGACCAATTATTTTTCTGTTTTACACAAAGGTTTTATGGTAGAAGAAGTCTAAAAAACACTGAACGAGAAGAAAACCAATGCTGCCTTCCCAGGGATATTATAAGAATTGAATGATATAAATGCGCAAAATGCTTAGAACAGTAGCTTGCACACTGCAAAAGCTCAATAGAGACTGGCAAGAATTATGATGCAGATAATGATTCAAATCTGAACTACACAAGCAATTTAAAGAAAATGAACCACAGATGCTATTATGATTCAGTATGTAGAAACTGTAGTTCTAACACCTCTGACTTTTAAAGGATGATCACCCTAACAGGTATCTGGATGATAGAACTTTAAAACTGGGTGTCTAGTCAGCAACACCAGATAAAGACTTACCTCTTTTTCTTGGTGATAATGAGCACATCATTAAAGAGAAAGAAGTAGACTTGCTGTTTGGATGTCCTTCTTGAGAAAAGCACAGTGTCTTCTACATAGGCCGTCAATTCACCTCTTTTTACCAACCACCGGGAAGAGGAGACTAAAGGAAAAGGCTGCAAAAAGAGAAAAACTCAGTGGCCAAAGCCAAATTAAAATCCTTTTAAGATTACTGAAAGTAAAATATAAAACTTACATTCAAACAAATGATACTTATCACGGTATGCATCATTGTTTTACAGACATATAAAACTGAACTAAAAATACAGAAGTATAGTGTATTCTTCAACAAAAAAAAAAAAAAAAGGAAAAAGAACAATATATCTTCCAATATTAAAAAAGAAACTATTAACTTCCCAATATGAAACTAAAACTCAATGAGAAAATGTTATTGGATCAATAAAAAATTATGACCCTTCTATTAGCTCTCAAGTGAAAAAGTAGGGAGTTACATAAAATTGAAAAACCTAGTATAAAATCTATCTTAATCAACTAGTTACTTTAAATATCTCAAATCAGAATCTAAAAATACAGAAAAAAACATGGTTAATGAGACAGATATAAAAGTCTACATTTACTTTATGAACTAAAAAGGTTTTTTTCAAGAGAAAAAAAAAACCCACATACTTATTTTTTTGTCTACTAATTATCTACCTAGCCATATTCTCGAGAACACCTGTTCATAAGATCATGGTACCTTTCTTTATGGAAGTTTGTCCCTAAAAGCAACATACCACTTTATGGCTGTGAAAATGAGGTTCTTCCAAAATAATCCATCAGAGTATCATAGAAAAGTCTGTATCTAAAAAAAATCACATGCTGCATTTTTTATTTTCTTTAGTCTTGTGCAAGCCAACTGGAAAACTCTCAAAACTACAGAACAATCCTTACCCTAGAAAGCTTTTTTTTAAAGTTACCAGAAATGTTTACTGCCAAAGATCTGATTTAAAAGACTACATCCATAAAATAAGCAAAAGTTCTTGGACACATAAAACAGAATGCAGAAATGTGTAATCAAACATCACCCTTTTCAGGAAATAATGATTAAAAATAGCTAAAGGAAATTGAGGATATTGGAGAGGAAATGAGAAGGCTAAGAAAGGATTTCATATTTACTTTAAACTTTATAAAAAGCTTTTAGAAGAAGATTGCTTATCATTTATATACTGTTTTCCTGAAGGTCCAAAAATGAAGATAAAAGATTATGGGGACTTTTCAAAACTGGCTACTAAGGGAGTTCATGAAGTTTTCAACCCCCTAAATCTCAAAATCAGACAATTACTCTACAGAGATGGCTGAGACCTTAAAGGTCAACAGATTGCTTAGATAACTCCAGCAGATTAGGCAGCACATACAAGAGGTCACCTTGTGTCAGGGTAGGTCCGGCTGAAAGACCGTAATTACAGGAAACACAGGACTATCTTGCTATTGCGTGTAACCCTACAAGATGAACCAAGGACAGTATTATTGTTAAGTTTTAGTGTACATGCTGCCCTGCGACTGTTCTGATTTAGGGGATGGAGAAAGAAAGGTTTTTTAAATTGTTTTACTGTTTTTAAAGCGATCAGTTTTTACACAGTCCTCATACTCCACTAGGGGCAAAACTAAATTTCTACCTATAAACACCTAAAATTGACAATGGCTTTCTATGTAGCTATGCTTCTTTTGAAAACAAAGTCCAACATTACATATAGTGTATGTTTCAAATTTATTGTTAGAAGACTGAACTCAGATAGGTTTTATTAAAGAAGAGATATTAAAATGATCAAAATAAAGGAAGTCAGAACAGCCCAAAGTGAGCATGTGTGAATTCCCCTAGCAAGGAAGTGCTGAGACTAGAATTGAGGTGTGAACCAGAAATTAGAAAAAAAAATAATCATGAACAAAGATATATCCTGAACAGTACTGAAATAATGCCTATGGAGCAAAAACTTCATTCTTTTTTCTATTACCTAGTATCCTAGAAAACTAGCCTCAGCATAAAATGTAACTAATTTTATAGGGCAGCAAGAAAAGAAAAGGGCTGCTGAAAAGCAAATAATTTTTTTTAATGTTGAGATAAAATTTACATAAAATTTAGTGGTTTGTAGTATGTTCACAATGGAGTTTAATAATCACCATTATCTAATTCCAGAACATTTTCATTACCTCAAAAAGAAATCCCACATGCATTGAGCAGTCTTCCTCCAGTCTTCCTCCCCTAAGCATCTGGCAACCACTAACCTACTTTCTAACTCCACAAATTTGTCTATACTGGACATGTCACATAAATGGAATTTTGCAACATGTGATCTTTGAATTTGGTTTCTCTCACCTAGCATAATATTTCCAAGGTTCGTCCACATAGCATGTATCAGAACTTTATTCCTTTCTCTGCCTAAATATTTTACTATCTGCATATACCACATTTTGTTTATCAGTTCATCCACTGATTGGGGTTATTTCCACTTTCTTGGCTATTATGAATAATGCCGCCATGAAAATTCATATATACATTTTGAAGTATCTCTTTTCAGTTCTCTTGGGTACATACCTAGGAGTGGAACTGCTGGGTCATATAGTAACTCTTATGTTTAGATTTTTGGGAAACCACCAAACTGTCTTCTATAGCATAAAGACTTTATAACACTTTAGACTTCTTCATTTTGTCTGTTATATCTTGGATTTCCATTATTAGCAAGGCCCCAATATGGCAACCAGCAAAGCCTTCTGCCAACTAATACACCACCACTCTACTCAGTGACACTGAATGTATGTCTCATAAAGCAGCCTATGAACCCACAACTTCTCCATGGGCTTATTCATAAGGTCAAACTTTCCAACACAAGACAAAAAATAAAATTTCTTCCCAATTCTATAGAGGCAAATTTTAAAGAAAGCTGTTTTCTCGCGGAGAAAACACTGGATTTGAGACACAAACTAATTTCTGGTTTTTGATATTCTTGGTTTAGTGACCACCTTTTTCTCTATAACCATCATTTTCTTTCCTCCCATCTCAGAGGATAAGCTCTCCAGTCTTCAACACTCTGCTTTCAGCTCTAAGGCCTTATTCCCTTGATTTCTTCCCCTCTCATTAGTATTCTCTCCTTCCTGGCTCATTTTCTGCAAACTATCCTGAAGACTATTCACTAAAAATGGTCCCATGACTTTGTGTATTCTCTAGATTTCATCACTGCCTTATCCTCTTAATAGTCAAGTTTCTGAAATGAAAAGTAATCTGCTTCAACTGCTTCATATCCCATTCATTCTTCAATGCACCCACCACATCTATTTAACTATTCTGATAAACATCTCAATAATGTTTGCTGCTTGTTATTATAAGTCAGGTCTGTTTCAATCCTTTATATCTCTTAAATAATTTAATTTTCAAAATAACTCCATGAGGGAAGGTATTAAATCAGCTTCATTTTAGGGTTCAGAAAACCAAGACATAAAAAGGCAAGTGATGCCAAGGTTGTACAGCTAGTAAGTGGTAGAACTGCTACTGCAGCTCAGGCAGGTCAGCTCCAGAGCCTGTGCTCTAACTTTATACTACCTTCCAAAGTTCCAATCCAGGGATGCTTTCCACTCCTCTCATATTACTGCAATTTAGCACTTGACAGTCTTCCAGAAACTCACAAACAGAATTAAAAATGAAAAACGTGTGAAATGAAAATGAAACACACACATACATGCCCTACAAAATTTATTTTCCTCCAAATTAGAAAAATATCCACATTATTATATAGTCATTGTTAAGAATGTAGACTCCAAAGATTTGAATCTAGACTTTATGATATCTTGGCATATAACCTTGAGTAAAGTACTTAATCTCTCTAGCTTCAGGTTCTTCATCCATAAAGTGAAGTTAATAATAGGATACTTTATAGGGTTCATGTGAGAATTAAATCAGACAAATGTGAAAATGGCACTACTTAGTACATTTGCAACCGATATTCTCATAATAGGAGCATTTACGGCCATGCCGTAAACCAAATATGGCCGAAATAGAACTTATCACCCCCAAACTTGTTCTTCCTCCTGAATTTCCTGAGTGAGTGGGTGGCTCTCCATCCAATCAACACAAGGCACACACTAACTGACCACTGCCCACCACAGGTAATGACTAATAACTAGTTTCATCTGCATCTGTCCAAAGATTTCATCTGCAAAAGCAAACTGTATTATTTTATACACGTAAGCCTTACTTTTTCCATTGAATAATATATAAGAAACTTTCCATAAAGTTATCTCAAATTCTGCTTTATTCTGAGTGGTATCACATTATTTGGGTGTACTGTAATTTATTTAATCAATCCTTTGATATTTAGATGTTTTTCCTCATCTTTCAATATTATAAACACCACTATAATAATAGCTGTTTGTGTATAATTTTATACATTCATGAGTACATCTGCAGAACAAATTCTCAGAAGTAAAACTGCTGAGCTGTAATAACTTGCACTTGTAATTTTGATAGTTATTGCCAAATTGCACACCACTGGGGGTGTAACAATCTTTCCCACCAGCAACATATAGAAATGACTTCTATTTCCACCAACAAAATGTATTATCAAAGTTTTAAATTATTTATAAATCTAAAAAGTGAAGTTCATTATTTTTAATATCTGCTAATCATCAATTAGCAATTTTCTTCTGAGTGAAATAAAGCATCTTTTCAAAGCTTTAATCATCATTTGAATTTCCTTTTCTGGTAGCAGTTTTCTGGTGCTTTTTTTTTTTTTTTAAATACAACATAAATTTATGTCTCACAGCTTTGGAGGACAGGCCAAGATGAAAGTGTCAGCAAGGCCAGGCTCTCTGAAGGTACTAGAGAAGAATCTGTTCCAGGCCCCTCCCCTAACTTCTGGTAGTTTGCTGGCAATCTTTCGTGCCCCTTGGCTTATAGACTAGTGAGTCTTCTCTTATCACTTTGATTTTTTTTATACACCAGGGATATTTACCCTTTGTCTACATGTGTGTTGCAACTATTTTTTACACCAGTTTGCTATTTGCCTTTGCACTTTTTTCATGGTCTTTTTCCCTCCTGAGAGAAATTTAAAAAAAAAATTTATACAGATAAATTAGAACTTTTGTCTTTTAATGACTTCTGGGTTTGGAATCAGTTGGAAAAACCTTTCCCCAGTGCTGAAGTTGTCTTTACTAAACACACATCTCATTGTGTCACTTCCCTGCTTAGAACTTTTCAGTGGCTCCCAAACGACCTCACTTAGCTCCTCCTCTTGGCACACAGGGCTGTCCACGTAAGTGTTTGCCTGCTACTGCAGCTCCACCCTACTCCTCTTACACCCCAAGTCTACCCACACTGAATACTTACAATTCCTGGGCCACAGCAGTAGAAATTGTGCATGTGTTTCTGCTCTAAGACACTTCCTAACTCACCTTTCAAGATTCAGATCAAATACACCTCTGGCATGAAGCTTTATCAGACTGCTCCAAGCCCTCCATCTCTCTGTCTCTTGCTCTTAGAGCTGTCCATCTCCCATCCATTCCAGTATTTTCCATAGTCTTGTAGCTGCTGTGACAGCAGTAGACTTTGCTGACTCCTTTGATTTTCAGCAGTTTTCTACTAGACTATGAGGGCAGGAATCATGTTTTTGTTTATCTATTGCCTTCCACATGGAAGATGCTCAGAAAATCTGTTATATTTCTATAATACTTGACATGTACTTGGATAAATCACTTAACCTCACTAAACCTCTATTTTCTCATCATTAAAATGAATTAAGTAGAAATGTCCATTGTTATTCATACTGTGTTATAAGGTCCCAAGATTTTATGAGTATTTCTAATTAGTACTAATTAGTAATTCTAAGAGTTCTAAATTAGGGGCTCCACTGTAAATCTGTACTTTAGGCTCACAAATACTTTAATCATTGAATGAAAATAGAAGAACCAACCAAAAACTCATGAACTCAATTGAGGTTAAAAACACTTACTTTTAATGATCCTTGGGGTTAGCATTTTTCAATTACAAATTAATTTTGGGTTCTAGATAGAGTCTCTTTTTTTTTCTTTTTGAGACGGAGTCTCACTCTGTTGCTTGGGCTGGAGTGCAGTGGCGAGATCCTGGCTCACTGCAACCTCTGCCTCCCAGGTTCAAGAGATTCTCCTGTCTCAGCCTCCCAAATAGCTGGGATTACAGGTGCCTGCCACCACACCTGGCTAATTTTTGTATTTTTAGTAGAAACAGGGTTTTGCCACATTGGCCAGCTGGTCTGGAACTCCTGACCCCAGGTGACCCACCCGCCTCAGCCTCCCAAAGTGCTGGGATTACAGGCGTGAGCCACCACACCTGGCCCAGAGTTTCTTAAAGTAATCTTATACCAATTGACTTTCAAGAAAAAGGGGAAAAAATAGGAATGTTTTACATCTTTTAAAAGGAGAAAAAAAAAACAAAAAACAAAACAAAAAAAAACACCTGTTGTGAGACATATTTTCCAACATATTTAGAAACAAATTAGAACCAAAAAATGGGTTTTTTAATTGCTGTAAATTTCTGTACGAGAACATTGTAACTATTTTAAGTGTGGGTGCACGCATGTGTATGCATGTTTGTATCTTGTTTTTGGCAAATACCCATCATCGTCTCTTTTACAGCTTGTGTTTCCGCATCTAAACCATTACAGTCAGGATGTTACAGTAGAGAAGTTTCACTGACCTGCATGTCAGGATGTCTGGACCTTAGTCCTGATTTTATCACCACTAGCCAAGTGACTCTGCTGACAAGCATTCTGTGGGTTTCTTTTCCTCATTCATAAAATAAAACAGTGTAGCTGTACTATATCAGTGGTCTTAAAATTTAGTACACATGCTGCCGAAGTAAGCACGCAATAATCCTCACACTATATGACATGGCAGAGAATCTGCTCTCTACAGAATGCCATGAAATGCTGATCTCTATTATTTGACTGCATGAAATAGAAACACTTTTACTAGGGAAAAATATGACCTGTCATTTAAAATTATTTAATTACATTTATATGTTATAAAACTAAATGGAATCACAATCGTGAGTACTCACTTCCCATTAAAAACTCAGCCGTGAGCCAATAAAGGAATGGCCATGACCTAGATTTGCCATTAACTGTCGTTTTCTTTTTCTTTATTCATCTTGTCATCTGCTCAAAAGTAGTATCAGACAAAGAATAACAAGCCACACATAATCAAAAAAGTTATGGGAGAAAAACAAACTTGAAAAAAATTATCAATTAACAATCTGCTTTGTAAACAAGAAGAGGAGTATCCTTATTTAATTTAGGAAAACACTGGTCCAGCTCATGGAATATCATTGTTTTTTAGAACATTTTGAGAATACTGAAGAAATCTCCTTTCAATTCTAAAATTCTATTATTTTAGCTACCTTATTCTATTAACTATTCCCCTAAGTTTGGTGTCTTCCTGGGGAAAAAAGAATGCTTCTTAGATAATGCCTGGCTTCAGGGCCTGGAGAAAGGTCACTGTGTCTGGTACAAACAAAAGTAAAATTGCCTGAAGCATTTGCTACTCCCTCTACCAGCCTCTCTCTTATCAATTTATGATCCTTCTTTGAAAAGCAAATTCCTATCCACTTTGTTGCCCTCAACTGTCTCTATTTAGAGAAGACTTAGACAAGAACAGTGATAAACACAAGTACGAGAATACCTTAATTTTAAATTCCAGCTGGGAGTTAATTGTGTACATCATCTCAGTCCTTTCCATCTTCCGGGCGCCCTCATTGCACAGTCGAACCAACTGCGAACACAGAAGAATAACGAGGGTTAAAGGTCAAGGAGAGAAACCTCACTTTCAAAAGCAGAATTCTCACAGGAAATAACTAACACTTGGGAAGCCCCAGAGTGGGCTTCCGACACAGAACTCACAGTTTTTCACAGTTACCACATTCTTATCCAGTTAGAAGTGGTGTGATTAGGATGTGAAGACAGGGAGGGAAAAAAAGGTCACCCTATCTCAGGGAAAGCTACACCCTTCTTCCCTCTTCCAAATCACAGCAGCTGAAGGGAGGTGGTCAACTTCCAAGGCAAAATCTAAGCAGAGTGCTGTGTAAAGCATGTGACCAGTAAACTGAGTGCTGAAGAGGAAAGTGTTGCAGAACAGTCAGCAATTCTTCAACAATGGCCAAGCTAAGGCCATCAGTTACATTTCAGTTTCACTGGAAGCACTAAATTATCTACAAAGCAAAATTATCTACAAAGTCCGACAAAGGACTTTCACAGTCCTTTAATGAGTACCTAATCTTAATTTACTGGTCTAAATTAAAATGAATTTTGCATCTCCAATTTCTTATTAACTGGAAAATCTGGAAAAAAAAAAAGATAATATAAGGGTCATTGGCCATAAAGACAAATGTGATTGTTAAAAGTAAGGATTGGAAATTTTAATTTCGTTTATTTTTAATATTTCTGCTTTGTTAGGTAATAGATGCACACTATAAAAATAAATAAATAAATGATGATGATGATGATGATGATGATACGGAAGTAAATAAAATAGGTCATAAAAGGTCCTGACCTACTCCCACTGCACAGATGTAGTTGGAAACAGACTGGGTTATATACTTTCTCTTTTTTTCCCTATGTTTATAGGAACATATACATACATACATATATGTATAGAAATTTTTCTTTTGTTTCTGGAAATGATCATTCTATGCTTATGTGTCTTTTTTTCACTTATCAATTATTTCAGACTAAATGTGTCTCCCCCAAATTCATGTTGAAATCCTAACCTCCAATATGATAATATTAGGAGGCAGAGACTTCGGGGGGGTAATTAGGTCTTGAGAGTGGAGTCCTCATGAATGGGATTAGTGCCCTTGTAAGAAGAGACAGGATAGCTTTCTTCTTCTCTCTGCTCCCTCTCCACCATGTAAGGATACAGGGAGAAGGTGGCCATCTGCAAACCAGGAAACCAGCCTTCAGGCAACACCGGATCTGCCTATACCTTGATCTTGGACTGCCCAGCCTCCAGAACTGTGAGTGATAAATATCTGTTCTTTAAACCACACAGTTTATGGTACTCTGTTAACAGCAACTTGAACTAAGACAAAAATGTTTCCCCTTCTAAAGTACCATTCATTAAAATAAAAACTTTATTTAGTACCTACTATGTTTCAGGTACTAGGGCTGTTAACACTTAGAATCCCTAACCTTATGGAAGGGCAGACGAAAGGAAAAAAAATCATAGACTCAGGTCATAGATTTAAAAAAAAAAAAAAAGGGCAGTAGGGGAGAGGGAAGTTGGGAGGGATCTAAGAGACCCTCTCCTGAGAGGTCATTTAAGTGGAAAGCTGAAGGAGAAGTAGTTACTACTAAATGATAAGATGGTTCAAGGAGAGGGAACACCATGAGGACGAGATGGGAAAGCATGTGAGTGTTTGAGTAAGTCAAAGAAGATCCTGGCATGAAGGAAGGTGGCATGGGAGGAAGCCAAGAGAGATAGGCCACGGTCAGATCATGCAAGGTCTTAAGGTGTCTGGATTGTATTCCAAGTGCAAAAAGAAGTCACTAGCATGCTTTCAGTGGGGGAATGATATGATCCAATTTATGCTACAACAATTAGATGAACTTTCCACAATATATTTATTCTATTTCCTGTTGATGGGCACTTGAACAATTTCCAATTCTCACTTGGCTTTTAGATTTGGAGAGCAGACCTGTCTTTAATAACAGCATATCTTTAGCTTTGGCCTGTGAGTTCACTGATGCAGGGACTGATGGCTTTATCTTTCTGATCAAAGCTAAGAGCTGAAATATCCAGGTGTGAGGCAGAGGCAACCTGAAACTGTAATACCCTGAAAGGAACAGGGCATATCGGAGTGAAATCCAGGCACGTCCTGCCCCAGACAACACTTCTAGATGCAACCTGGGCCAGAAGGAACCCACTGCCTTGAAGAAAAGAACCAGTCCTGGCAGTATTTATCACCTGCTAACTGAAGAGCCCTCAGACCATGAATAACCAGCAAGAAATACACTTCACCTATAAAGACACACATAGGCTAAAAACAAAGACACACATACACTAAAAACAAACAATGGAAACCAAACAAACAAACAAAAAACAGAAGTCGCTATGCTTATATAAGACACAATGGATTTCAAGACCAAAACTATAAGAATACACAAAGAAAGTCACTATGTAATGATAAGGAGGTCAATTCAGCAAGAGGGTGTAACAATTTTAAATACATATGAACTCAACACTGGAGCACATAGGTATAAAAGGCAAATATTATTAGCGCTAAAGAGAGAGATAGACCATAGTACAATAATAGGTAGAGACTTCAACACCCCAAAATTAGCACTGGACAGATCTTCCAGTGCTAATTGTGGGGAATACACATTCTTTTCCTCAGCACATGGATCATTCTCAAAGATAGTCCATATTTAGGTCACAAAACAAGTCAGAAAACATACAAAAATTCTAAAGTAATATCAAGCATATTATTTGACTACAATGAAATAAAACTAAATATTAATAAGAGGAATTTTGGAAACTGAAAATACATGGAAATTAAACAATATGCTCCTGAATGACCAGTAGGTTAAAGAAGGAAATTGAAAAATTTCTTGAAACAAATGGTGGAAACACAACATATCAAAACATATATAATACACTAAAAGCAGTACTAATAGGGAATTTTATAGCTGTAAGTACCCACATCAAAAAAGAAGAAAAGGCCAGGTGCAGTGACTCACAACTGTAATCCCAACATTTTGAGAGGCCGAGGCAGGTGGATCACTTGAGGCCAGGAGGTCAAGACCAGCCTGGCCAACATGGTGAAACCCTGTCTCTACTAAAAAAACAAAAAAACAGAAATTAGTCAGGTATGGTGGCATGTGCCTGTAGTCCCAGCCACTTAGGAGGCTGAGGCATGAGGGAGGCAGAGGTTGTAGTGAACCAAGATCATGCCACTGCACTCCAACTTGGGAGATACAGCAAAGCTCTGTCTAAAAAAAAAAAAAAAAAAAAATGAGGAAAAACTTCAAGTAAAGAAACGAACTACAATGAAACTCAAAGAACTAGAAAAGCAAGAGCAAACCAAACCCCAAATTGGTAGAAAATAAATAATAAAGAAAGCCTAGAGGAAATGGACAAATTCCTAGACACATACCACCTATCAAGATTGAACCAGGAAGAAATCCAAAAGCTGAATAGACCAATAACATGTAATGAGATTGAAGCCGTAATAAAAAGTCTCACAGTAAAGAAAAGCATGAGACTCAATGGCTTCACTGCTGAATTCTACCAAACATTTAAAGAAGAACTAATACCAACCCTGCTCAACCTATTCCAGGTAATAGAAGAGGAGGGAATACTTCCAAACTCACTCCACAAGGCCAGTATTTCTGATACCAAAACCAGACAAAGACGCATCAAAAAAGAAAACTACAGGATGATATTTCTGATTAATATTGATGCAAAAATCTTCAACAAAATACTAGCAAACTGAATTCAACAATACATTAGAAAGATTATTTATCATGACCAAGTGGGATTTATCCCTGGAATGAAAGGATGGTTCAACATAGGCAAACCAATCAGTGTAATACATTATATCAACCACACGAAGGACAAAAAACATATGATCATTTCAATTGTGCGGAAAAAGCACTTGACAAAATTAAACATCCCTTCATGATAAAAACCCTCAAAAACTGGGTATGGAAGGAACATACCCCAATATGATAAAAAAAAAAAAAAAAAAAAAACATATGACAGAGTCATAGCTAGTATCATACTGAATGGGGAAAAACTGAAAGCCTTTCCTCTAATTTCTGGAACATGACAAGGATATCCACTTTCAGCACCATTATTCAACACAGTACTGGAAGTCCTAGCTAACAAAATCAAACAAGTGAAAGATATAAAGGCCATCTAAATTTGGAAGGAAGAAATTGTATTATCCTGTTTGCAGATGACATGATCTTATATTTTGAAAAACCTAAAGACTCCACAAAAAAACTATCAGAACTATTAAACAAATTCAGTAAAAATGCAGGATACAAAATCAACATACAAAAATCAGTAGCATTTCTATATGCCAACAGTAAACAATGTGAAACAGAAATTAAAAAGTAATCTCATTTACAACAGCCACACATAAAATTAAATACTTAGGAATTAACCAAATAAGTGAAAGATCTCTGTAATAAAAACTATAAAACACTGATGAAAGAAATTGAAGGAGACACCAAAAAATGCAAAAATGCTCCATGTTCATAGACTGGAAGAATCAATATTATTAAAATGTCCATACTACCTAAAGAAATCTATAGATTCAATGTAAGCCCTATCAAAATACCAATGACATTCTTTACAAAAATATAAAAAATCCTAAAATTTATATGGAACCACAAAAGACCAAGAATAGCCAAAGCGGTCCTAAGCAAAAACAACAAAATTGGAAGAGTCACTTTACCTGACTTCAAATTATACTACAGAGCTATAATAACTAAAACAGCATGGGAACTGGCATAAAAACAGGCACATAGGCCAGTGGAGCAGAAAAACAGACCTTAGAAACAAATCCACACACCTAAAGTGAACTCATTTATGACAAGGGTGCCAAGAACATACACCGAGGAAAAAACAATCTCTTTAATAAATGGTGCTGGGAAAACTGAATATCCATACACAGAAGAATAAAACCACACCCCTATTTTTTACCATATACAAAAATAAAATCAAAATGGACTAAAGACTTAAACCTAAGACCTCAAACTATGAAACTA